ATCTTTAGGTGTGGTTAAATTGACAACTCAGCTGCTAACACCTTCAAATATTCTTTGGCTCCCCTTGTGTCGAATTTATAAATTTGGGTTGAATACTCTACCCTCGAAAACTGTTGCGATCCCCTATACTTGTGGGTTATCACACCTGTTCACAACGCTCAGCCCTGGCCATGATGACATGACCAAGTTCATCTCTGAATACCACACCCGAGCAGCCATAGTTATTTCTAGGTGTAGAGGCCCCGCCGAGATTGGCCTTGAGTTTACTGTCATCAGGTGGTTTCCACTTCACTGCATTGTCACCCTTTTCCCCTCATAATGAAATATTGCATATATTCTAAGAAATCAACACATACCCGTCCGATCACTTCATTCACTAGGAATGACATCTCACCTTCGTGAACTTTGTTTCTATTATTCCACCAGTTTCACCAAAGGGTGACTATTTGGGCCATAGTATTTTCACTTAGCCTCCACAAAGAGTCCATCATTGCATGCACACCCGAAAAACTTTCAAGCTGCTCCATCACTTTTTCCAACTCCAGACCGCGCCATAGCTCCTTCACAACCTTACACTTTATGGAAAGGTTCCTTCCATCCTCCTCAGCTTGACCACAAAAAAAGAATTTCACTTCCTTCAACTTCAGTCCCCGATTATGAAGGTTAGTACAAAGAGCAAGTGATTCATGTTTCATCCTCAAGATGAACATTTGGATTTGCCTCGTGCATGGCATTTTCCAAATATGCAACCACGATTGGTCACCCCGCCTTTCAAGTTGTCTGACTTCTGTAGAATTGCAACCCGGGCCTCCTTTACATGACTGCTTGTCTAGCTGCACATGAAGCTCGTAAACACTTTTCACTAAATGTTCTTCTTTTTCGAAGTGCCAACACCTTCCCATAGAGGCATTCGCAGGATATGTGTTGTATCATCTGGCCAGAATGTGTCAAGGACGATCTGTTCATCCCAATTCCTGGAGATAGGGCAGATTAGCTCATTAACATGAGTTAGGAGACTTGCTCCTCTCATTGTGATGATTCGCCTAGACGAGGCCCCAGGTATCCAAGGGTCAGCCGAAATATTCATTCTTGTTCCGTCTCAAATCCTCCAGAGACACTCGGTATTTTTCTCCATGCATGTTAGTTGAACGCCATAGTGATACTTTGCAACTTGATTAGAAACCACACCTACCATGATGTACTACATAATTACAAAATAGTACGCCATTTCAATTAATGTTGTGTTATGTAACAATCACCGCCTTCTACCCCCACCAACATTCCTGGTATATAGCTCCGCCACCAGTAGCAATGCACGGGGCACTTTGCTAATTCCTCCAATGTAGTATTGACTTTCAGCTAAGTTTTAGCGAGGATGATTATCCTGAAACATAACGCATGGAAATGAGCACTTCTATCCTATCTAGTGTAAACATCAAGGTTGTCTAGCTAGTGTGGCATGAAAGAATTGTCATCGATTAATGTTGAAACGTCATCAACAAGTGAAACCTATGGCTATCACTGGCAAGATGGGGACGCCGTTAAGGGATTTCAACACATCCTAACATCCACACTTAGCCGTTGGATCCACAACAACCGTAGCTGGAAGAGTGAAGCCGAGAAAACCCACCGGAGCCAACCAAGAGGCTCCGACATATAGGCAAGCCCTAAACTAGGGGGTCACTCCCTAAACTAGGTTCAAGAAGAAGGATGCTTATTCTCATGTGCAAGTGAAGGATGAGAAAACATCACTTGAGAAATTTGGAAGGGCTGGGAGGGCCAAATACGAGGAAAGAAATGCATGCTCAATGCCCAAATCACCTTCCTCCGAACGAGGAGGAGGAAGTAGACAAGAAGAACCATCGAAGGATTGCCAGAATAATAAATAAAGGAAGAGGAGGATCAACTTCGGCAGCCTGAGAAACCAATGTTAGGGGATTTAGTTTAGGAGCAAGGAAAGAGAAACACATGCACACTATTGGCTAGGGTGGCACCACCACGGGCGCCTAACCAAAGACAAACAAGAGCGACAAGGGATAAAGGAACTGGATCTCAAAGATCTAGGCCTGGAGGACCTGGGTTACCCCCTGCCGCCTCAAGAAAGGCGATCACACGTACGTAGGATTCTCCGACGAGAATCCACCGAAGGGTTGGCAGATCGAACTGAAGGACAAAGACCAACAGGAGTCGAAGACCGACAACGACAACTTCCTAACTTGAAAAGGTGCCATAAATGACGCAATCCAGGAAACCCCTAAATACTACAACTAGGGGAGCAAGGGGTTGCCCTACTCACCGTCGGTGAAAGCCAAGAGGGAGAGGGGTGGGGGCGATGGTTAGGGGGGGGGGGGTCTGGAGGTGCTCCGGATGTGGAAAGAACGAGGAGGGCATTATAAAGGTCCCTCAACCTTCTCATCAATGCATGTGGATCTATTTATTTTATCATATAAATCCATGATCTACGCGCACTAAATCACCAGCTATATCGACACCGTGTGTTTATGTAACTGATTCAGTGACGGTACATATTTTGTCACATATAAGTGGATAGTGGATACTCAGTATTGTTTGCCATACATATTAGTTGAACGCCATAATGATGCTTTGTGACGCGATTAGAAACCGCACCTACCACGACGTACTACATAATTGAAAAGTAGTACACCACTTCAATTCATTTTGTGTTATGTAGCAGTCTCCACCTTCTGCCCCTCCAACATTCCTGGTCTAGCTTCGCCGCCGATAGCAATGTATGGGGCCCTTTGCTAGTTCCTCTAATGTAGTATAGACTTTTAGTTAAGTTTTAGTGAAAATGATTGTCCTGGACCACGACACTAGAAAACGGGCACTTCTATTCTACCTAGTGTAAACAACAAGGTTGTGTGGCTAGTGTGGCAAGAAAGAACCGTCATCGATTAATGACGAAAATGATGAAACATCACCAACAAGTGAAAACCTATGGTTGTCACCGACAAGACGAGGACACCGTTAAGAGCTTTAAACACACTCTAACGTCCACACTTGGCCGTTGGCTCCACAACAACTGTAGTTGCATGAGTGAAGCCGAGAAAACACGCCGGAGCCATCCAAGAAGCTCTGACATCCAGCCAAGCCCTAAACTAGGGGGGCACTCTCTCAACTAGGTTCAAGAAGAAGGACATTATTCTCATGCGCATGTGAAGGATGAGAAGGAAAGAAATGCATGCTCAACGCCCAAGCCACCTTCCTCCGAACTAGGAGGAAGTAGACAAGAAGAATTGAAGGATTGCCAAAGGAATAAATAAAGGAAGAGGTAGATTAACTTTGGCAACTAGAGAAACCAATGGTAGGAGATTTAATTTAGGAGTAAAAGAAAGATAAACATACACACATTATCGACTAAGGGTGCCACCGCCACGGCCGCCTCACCAAAGACAAACATGAGCGACAAGGGCTAAAAGAACTAGACCTCAAAGATCTATACCTGAGGGACCTGGGTTAACCCTCCACCCCTCTGAAGAAAGGCGATCACACGTACATAGGCTTCTCGAACGAGAATCCACCAAAGGGTTGGCGGATCGAATTGAAGGATAAAGACCAACGATAGGCGAAGGCCGACGATGACCACTTCCTAACTTGAGAAACTACCATAAATGACGCAATCAAGGATAAAAAACCTAATTAGTACAACTAGAGG